TCCAAATACATAGCTGATCTTCTTCAGAAGGCTAAGATGTTGGAAGCCAATGTCATAGCCACCCCTATGATTAGTGGGTCAATTGTGTTAGCAAGACAGGGTGAATTACTTGCTGATCCCTATCTATACCGTAGTGTGGTGGGTGCCCTACAATATGTGACATTGACTAGACCCGAGATTTCTTATTCAGTCAACAAAGCCTGCCAATTTATGCATGCTCCTACATCTATTCACTGGCAGYTAGTAAAGAGAATACTTAGATATCTAAAAGGTACCTATGACCATGGCCTACTACTGACAAAACCTACTTTGATGCAACTTCAAGGGTATRCTAATGCAGATTGGGCATCAGACCCTGATGACAGAAAATCAACGTMTGGGTTTTGTATATATTTGGGAGGAAATCCAATTTCATGGGGTTCTAAAAAGCAATCGATAATTTCAAGGTCRAGTACAGAAGCGGAATATCGTGCATTAGCTCTTGCAGCTTCAGAATTGGTTTGGTTAAAAACATTGTTTCGTGAGTTGCATATTCCCGTTTTGTCGAATCCCATCCTCTGGTGCGACAATCTGAGTTCAGTTCATCTCAGCTCCAATCCCATTCAAAAAACGAAACATGTTGAGATCGACATCTATTTTGTTCGTGACTTWGTAATTTCAGGACAACTAAGAGTACAACACTTACCGTCGACAGCCCAGATCGCAGACTTCCTCACAAAGCCGTTGTCTCCCACGAGATTTCATGCCCTAAAAACCAAGCTCAATGTTCGTGCTTCCAYTGSCATTGGCTTGAGGGGGGTGTTAAGATTAATCATTGATGGGTTTTAACAATAAATGAGCTTTAGTGATATTGGGCTTTAGTTACACTTTGTTTTATATGTAACCATTTTTTTGTAATCTCTTGAAAGTGGTTAAGAGCCCAATAGTCTATATAAGAACGTTAACACCTCCTGTACTTTAAAATAGATTTTCAATACAAAATAGTCTATATAAGAACGTTAACACCTCCTGTACTTTAAAATAGATTTTCAATACAAAATAATCCATTCTGTTATGATAAATCATCACCAATTGGTTTAAAGTCTACAAATACGAGGATATGGAAGTGTAGTGTTGCATAAATATGATGCTTGCAAGAAGTTTWATGTATTTATATATTAAGAATCTAAAACAAAAAAAAAAARGACCAAAATTTGTTTTATGTATTTATATATGTATTTCTTAAGAATCTAAGGTGAATGAAATTTAATTTATTTTGTTCTGTTCATTGTATACAACAATTGCCCGTTCCTTTAAGATCTCATTTGAGGTAGGTTCATATTGCGAATCATATTTTTATCTCTTATTTTATTATGTAATAGGACTCGTTTTAATAGCTTATTATAATTTATGCTGTTTTAGCATGTTTAAGAATT